ATTTACAACAACCTGCTTCAACCTCCTTGTTCCCCAAGTGCATGAGACCTGAAGAAGCAGAAATAAGCAACTGTAGAGAAAGTCCTGCTCAGCCCCTGGAGTACAGAACTGGAAAATTTAGCTGCCATACATGAAGTGCAAAATTAACATTTTCCAGTGGCTAATAAAATTGGAAAAATTTGACAAGATTCCACAAGAACAGCAGAAGTGCCAGTACCAGCGCGTCCTCCTTGCCAATCTTCAAGTCTGTCCTGCAGACCTTGGAGGCATCAACATTAATTTTTTTTTCTTATAATAGCTTCACCAATAAAACATGGGCAGAACATTTTCTTGATCTCAATTTCAGAAAGAACAGAACATTTTTAGCTGAAACTTTCAGAAAACGCACACAGACAAGAAGCAGAGGTGCAATATGGGAAATGTGAACCCAAACAGCTAAACTTAGACACAGTATATGCAAATGAAAACAAGGTGCAGGCAACTGGCAGTGCTACAACTCTATCTATAACAAATGAAATATTGAATAGAAGAAAACAATTGCTTGGTAACCTCATGATAAATAATCAGAGGAATATTAAGAAAAATAAAGTCACTTGACATTGCTTTTTTAAAAAGTTATTTCTTTTTCATTATGTACATGCAGGACGTAATGAATTTTGAAAATTATCTTAACGTATTTTCCCCCACTTTGTCAAGTCTGTGCTTTTTAAACTTACCCCTCCTAGTTCCTTAAGATCCTTCTCTAATTTTTCAGAAATCATGTTGGACGGGACATCAAGGTAAAACACCTTCCCATAAAGTGGCTTGTACTTGGATTTCTCTGGCTTGGCTGAGTCTTTCTTCAGAGTTCTCAGAGAGGGCCTTGTTTTGTCTGGTTTTCCTTGCATGTCACCTGCTGCCAAAAGGTAGAGGATATCATAAGGGTAGTACTTCAACAAAAGAATGTGTTGCACTTTAAGGCCCAATTTAAGTATGAACAAGTTAAGCTTAGTTTCTGCATACGCTAGTTTTTAAAACTGAATTTGGCCTTAAGGTGTACTAAAAAGGACAGAAGCTCCAGCAATACAGTACCTGGCCACATAGCCGGTACCACAGCATGAAAAAGGCAGGCAAGGGTCTCTGAGTAAATGTGCTATCTTTTATTAGACTAACAAAACAAATGGAAAAAAATCTTTGCAAACTTTTGGCCACAAACAAGGGACCCTTCTTCAGGCACGGGGAGAGTCGGCTGTGTTGTGTGCGCTCCCCCGGATGCAACAGAAACCAACACACAAAATGCAGGTCTGTGAAAATGCAGATGGTGGCAGTGAGGCTCCGAGGCTGCCCAGGAGAGCAGACAGCACACCAGCCTCTGCCTCAAGGAGGGTGCTTGCGCCCAAAGGCTTTCGAAGAACATTTCTCCCCCCAACTATTTAGTTGCTCTAATAAAGGATTTCACATTTACCCAAAAACCCTGGTCTGCCCGTGTGCTGACACTCACACCCCGACAGCACGTTCGCGATCTCGTTCAGGAGACATTTTGGTTGGCCTCCAGCGGATTATAAAAGCAGCAGCAAAACCGACGGTGCCTAGCTAGAAGGCCTAACCCTAAAAACGGCTCCCTGCGGGCTCCCGAGCACTGCTCCACGTCGGCTGCCCTCGGG